CAAAGTATGGTACAAAGTATGTTTCCCTTTTTCATCTTCCCTCCCTTCTCCCTTAATTTTTTTTCTTAATTTTTTAAAATCTACATTGAGCTTTTACTAAAACTATCTAGATATTTTATCGATATTTGATATGAATTGTCTCAAATGATTAACGCTGATCAACGTCTGTGCAGGATTATAAACAATCTGTGACATCTAAACTTTTGGTTCGATTTTCCCTGTGCTTGCTCGCAAGTGATACTGTGATTCAGAAACCTCGCTGCTTAACTTTTTAAATCTAGAATAAAAAATATAAATTTGTATATTAAACTAGATTGTATTAAGAACGTCAGGGAGTAGTGCAGAGAACCACAGAGCCACTTGGAATGAGAAATGCCTGGATCACCGTCCAGATCATTGAACAACATCATAACACTCATACATTTAACAAATAAATAAGGCTCAGCCGTGGTTTATACTCTCATAAACCACCCTTTTTTGGCCAATCAGAGCGCGCGTTAGAAATAATCTATATAATAATGTTTTTTGATCACCATTTTAGCCTTCTTGTTGGATGGTTTTGAATGTTGTTGGATGRGTCATGAAGGATATTGGATGGGTGTTGAAGGCGTTTGATGATGTATAGTGTTGGTGTCGGTAATTGTTCACACGTTCAGTCGGGGTTTTAATAGTTTCATTCCCCTTTGGGTCTAGACCTACAATCATAGACAAAATGCTTTGGGACAACTACCATCTTCCCTCCCTTGCCTTCTTTCTCTTGTGATTTTCAAAATGATAAGTGGCTTGTAGTTCTGTGTTACAATGTCAAGGGTTTTAGTTGTAAAAAGGGTAAAGGGTGGATAAAGTTGTGTACTCCATAGATTTTATCTTCTGGATAATGAGTTATCCGGTGGGTAGAGCTATTGACACTCTGTACAACTGAACCCTGGCCAGTCATCTCTTAATAGGGGTAATGGTCACACTTGTCGCCCTGGCACAGTGACCGGACAACGACACTGCAAAAAGGCGTAATACTCAAGTTCACACAGGAACTCTATCCGGGTTCAATGCATGATACAAGGTCTGGACCTTGTACCTGAAAACCAGCGCTGTGCCTGGATTTTTACCAGCAATGTTCACATGCATTTCGTGCCCGGCGAGGAGGACTAAGAATAAACAATGTCTAATAGAATGCACCTTTACCTCTTCTTCAGCTTGAGAAACAGGACCAGTAGGATGATACAGAAGATGAAAAGCAAAAAGATTAAACCGCCATTAATGATGAACGCTTGTTGGTTACCCATTAATTCAGGGAACAGGGTGCCGTGCAGTCCACCTTCAGGCTCTGGGGACGTCTCAGGCTTTGGTTCAGGAGTTGAGGAGTTCGAAGTCGTCATTGTTCAGTAAAACGTTTGCTGAGGAGAAATAGGTATGGTTACAATAATAAAACGAGGCATGTCAGGAGTTGGAGTTCTGCACATCGTTTTTCATGTTCATTAAGGGTTCCCTGATCACTGTTTTAACTTTTCTTTTTAAAAGATTGATGTATAGAGGTGACTCCATACAAAGATAGCAGTGTACTAAGTTAACAACGCAGTATATAGGAAAGTGAGTGACTCACTGACTGAGTGAGTGAGTGACAGATCGTTYCCCTATAATAACTCGATTGATAACGCAATCTCCGAGTTAAAAACATAAAAATGGTTCTTAGGGAGATTTTTAGAGGCTATAGAAAATGCGAGGACAACAGCTCACATCATGGTTTGCTGGACAAAATAGCTTTTCTGTGCATCTTCTATATTAGTTAAGCTTATATTGTGAGATCAAAGTAATATCACTTCCCTCCCACTTACCCTATATGACTTACAATAAGATGGAGTTGTACGCTAACACAAGTTGCGTGTAAGAGTAGTTTATAACGCTTTGCTGGTGTTACGTTATGGAAAGCACTTTTTAACAAAAGGGGCCTTACTAGTTGTCAACAAAAGAAAAGAARTAAATAGACTGCCTCTTGATCTTTTTATCGAAGATTTGCATATTATGAATGGCTTATTTTTGCTTGCGTTACAAACATGCACTTCTGACRTACGTTTKTCAATATTTGTACATTTGGGAAACTCAAAAATGGTTGTACTAGAAACACAACTATAGTTTCAAACTAATATCTAGTTATACGTATAAAAGCAAAAGTCATTAAGAATATCCAGGCCTTTCCGGTCGATTGTTTCATGATTTTTGTTCTTGTTTATAAAMACTGTCWGCAAAWGTCGCAATTGTGTACAGTAAATATTCCTGTTTTTGTGTTGAGACGGGTTTATATTTTAGACTATTCGTAGGCAGTTATCTTTAACACCTTTTCTTTGTGTACAAATCAAGACAAATCGAACTTTAGTTTGTCTAAGTAATAAACAATACGGCGATAAAATGGCAATATAATTCAGGCGCACTAACAATATGGCGTCAATCTGACTAGAAGCACACTGCTAAGCTAAGCACACTGTTTRTGTKCAAAACGCTGGATTTTTTATGATTAGGGGAATCTGAAAGTTTAGAGCCAAAGTTTAAGCTAAATCTGAGTGTTCACAAGCTTGGAATGTTATGATTCACGTTTTACGAGCTTACCCTTTCAAAGAACTGATCAAAATTCACGGCAAGAGAGCAAAGTTCTGGAACTGCTAATAATTCCAAAATGTCATATTTCAAAAAAACATCCTTTTCAAATTAATGGTATCAGGCATGATATTATGAGCATTCAAATTTTTTTCTGTAACATTTCTGTTGTCACTGTTGTTGTTTTTTATGCATGAAAACGTTTCATAGAATGACGATTCAAATTGATTAATCAGTGAACTTTACATAGAACTATAACCCTATTATATAACATAGAAACACTTAGTTTTCAAGTTATATGTTTTTACAAAAATCCCTTCTATTTCACAACCTCATTCAGACACTTAAACGTTCCAGATTTTCAGTGTGCAAAATAACGCAAAAATCTCTGCGGAAAATACGTAATATCATATATTAATTAACTATAGATGATGTTACATTTCTCTTAGGGTTAGGGTTAGGGTGGGAAAGTACGTAATATCACATATTAATTAACTATAGATGATGTTACATTTCTCTAGCGACATTCTTCTGTTTGTTTAATACCATTGATTACTTACCTGCGTGGTTTTCTTGAAGTCACTGTTATCTCTGCTCAATTTATTAATATTTAGTATTCCTAGATACAGACCTATTTACCATAAACCTACATGGGGTATTATAAATTAATCTAGTTACCAATGACAACCGTTAAGGGCCTTACTG